ATTTCATATTTTTAATAGCAAGGGAACCATGGGTCATATTTGGATATTGAGGACTCTGGGTAACACTTGTATTGTACCCAACTAGCAGATTGAAAACTGAAACTGAGATTCATACAGCAGCACGCCTCTAGATACATAATACCAGAGAGAGAATCCAAACATGGGACTTTGCTGAGCCTTTCAGACACAATGCAGTACTAGCTGACTGTGCTACTTGAAAACTTGTTTTCCCAGAGGCTTCAAAAACAGAAGGCATGTAAAGGGAACCTATGGTTTCATTTGCTTTCAACCTTAGGTTCACATTGTTGCATAACTTGCGAACCTAGGTCCCAGGAGTGCTGAGTTTAGAACCAGCAGAGACAGAGCATCCTTAGTGAACCTGACAGGCAAGGAGAAATCTATTAACAGGAGCATCAGCAGCCTGTACTTGGAGAATGGTTTTGCTTGTGTAGGGAAATTATCTGTCTTGGGTTGGGAATATGGTCCGTTTTAACACAGTGTCAGAGCACATCACCATCTCAGATCTATTTATAGCAGTATAGCCCTAGTGAAATAAGGTGGGGAGGGGGGTAATGCCATTGGAGAATGGAGCACATGCTCATTTCTTTCTTTCTGTTTGTTACAGTAGTTATAGCTTGCCTTGGAGCCAAGGTGGTATGCAAAAGAAAAAAAGGGATGTGTAATCACAAAACAATCTGACAGCACATCACGGCCAGAATTCTGTACCAGTTACTTAGTGAAATATACTGAAGTACAGTCGGCCCTCTATTTTCATGGGGGATCCATTTTGGACCACCACCCCTGCAAAAATGGAGATTTGCAAATATTCAAGCCCCATAGGCTTGAACAGGGTGTGCCCCATTGATTTAAACAGAGGTTATCCCTCCATGAATATGCAAAACCACAGGCTTCAAGTTGGTGAGAATGGAGGGGTGACTGTATTATGAATATGACACAGATTTGTGTGTGTCTATGTCTACATGCCCTCAAGTCTCCTGTCAACTTACAGGGACCCCATGAATTTGATAGGGTTTTCTTAGTGTACAGAGGGATCTTGTAGCACCTTTGAGACTAAGGGCCTTTGCAGACGGGTGGCCATGGGCCTCCCTGAGAAGAGCAGGATTGGGGCTGAGGCTGCCCATGCCTCGGCCCCAATCCACCCTTCTGCCGGCCCTGGAAGGAGCTCTAAAATAGTGCTCCTTCTAGAGCAGGCACAAGGGGCACTGGGCTTCCGGCAGGATTTCTGGGAAGAGCCATAGTGCAGTTTCCGGCAGGATTTCTGGGAAGAGCCATAGTGCAGCTCTTCCGCAGCTCTTCCAGCTCAGCCTATGCAGAGGCTGGGCCAGGAGGATGTCATTAAAGGTGCTGCTTTAATAGCTGAGCTAGAGATCTGCACACAAATCTTTCCTCTTACTTGGAGCTCAGCCCACCGAAATAGGAAAATTTGTACCCTTGTCTCCAGCCTAGAGAGGACCCACAAAAACTGAAGATGCAGAGCCAAACTCTGAGATCTGACAACCCTACCAATAAGCCATGTAGAAACTGAGAGAATCACGATTGAAGAGGAATTAATAAAACATTTCCTTTAAAATACAAAACTGTTGTGGTTTGTGGCCATTTCTTCTGTGTCGCCGCTCTGGAGAACCACAAGCCATTGTGAGCACATGATGTGGTTGCTAATTGTTGGGTACAAGAATTTGATTTTGTAAAAGCATTAGCAGGGAAGGAAGCTGTCAGCTTTGGCTGACCTCAAGAAAACAAATGGCACACGACCTTGCAGCCAAAATCCATGAGGTTGGGAATCAGAAACCACATCTATAAACCCTAGTCCTTAATCTCTGGCAGGAATCCTGTTGGTTGTTGTATGCATGTGTAGATCCCTTACAGAAGCATACCCCCCAAGTTTCCTGATTTGTCACGGACAGTCCCCATTAGTCCTCTGTCATCCCATTTTTTCATTGCTTTTAAAATGTTCCTGTTTCTCTCTCCTTCTCCCACTTTCCCCCTTTGTCCTTAGCTTAATTCAAGCATTGCTAACTGAGTTTAAAATACAGTAATTTGCATGCAATTAATTCAGGAAGAGGAAGAGAAAAGGAGAAAGTAGAATCTTGCTCTTCCCAGTAGGTTCAGGCAAAAGCAAACTACTGCAGCCTCTCTTGGCTTGTGTTTCCTTCCTTGTTAATATTTTCACCATTTTAACCACAGTCTGATGTTTAGCCACACAGAACCTTGTCCTCTGTCTCTTGGTCATAGCCCAGTGTAACCAACTGTATTCATCCTTCTCAAGGTCTCTCCAGGTATTTACTCTGTACAAAACACCCCATTTTTGCACAAAACCATTTCCTGGGAGATTTTGCAACTTGGGAAGAATCATGCTGCTTCACTATTCCTTTTTGTATGGATATACCCAGTGTGAGAAAACCCATTATTCTGCTCAGTAAAGAACAGCAATGAATACATACGCTCCAGGGGCAGTCCCAAATAATCCCCTTTTAACTCATTATTCCACCTGCTTTTAAAACATCCCTGCTTCTCTCTCCTCCTCCCACTTTCCCCCTTTGTCCTCAGCTTACTTCAAGTGCTGCAAAGTGAGTTGAAAGTACAGAAGTAGTTGCACTCAGATAACTCGTTGGGGCTGAGAGGAAAGGAGGGGGTGAGATCTTCCCAATAGGTACAGGGGAAAACAAACTGCTACAGCCTATCTTGAGATCAAAATGTAAAGGAGGTTTATACTCCATTACTCTGCAAGAGTAGAGGAGGTAGCAGTAGAACCAGGCAAAAGCAAACTGCTATAACTTCTCTCAGCTCCTATGATTTTCTTCATTAATAGCTGCATCAATTTTGAAGCTGCTTGGCAATATGTCTTCTGGTGTTCCTCTGTGAAAAGCTGGAGGGTGTGTGAGAAGATGCCAGCCACAGATGCTGGCGAAACGTCAGAAATAAGCTCTTCTAGAACATGGCCACACAGCCCGAAAAACCCACAAAATACTAAGCAAAGGGATTGTTGGCCCAAGGAACAAATTTATTTCACCTTTTTTGTTGTTATTTGCAATCAAGTCGACATTGACTGTCTTATGGTAACCCTATGAATGAGAGAATCCTCACAATCCCCAGTCATCAACTGCCCTGATCATGAACGTTATCACACGGGGGAAATCTGCTAGTTAATCCACACAAATCCCAAACGGAAACTGGATTTGTGCCTCACAATTTCACACGACGTCGCACAGAAACAGGACAGAAACTGGACAGAAACTGGACAGAAACTGGTGTTATCCGAGATCTTTTGAAATTCTGTAGTTTGATTACAGTAATTTTGCATTTACCGTAATGTGAAAAGCAAATGCGCATTTGTGAGCATTTCCCTGCTTTTCCCATGGTTCCACGGCGAGCATTCCTCTATCTGCGCATGTGCAAGAAGATCATTTCTAGTTCATTTACTTGTGTGTGAACGTTAAATGCCCTTACTGTAATTTCGCAATTAAGGTAATTACGTGTGAAAGCCATTTGCGGAATCAAGGTTTATTTTCGGTTTATTTTCGGAATGCCTCATTTCCACTTTATTATCGCTTTCTGGCCCACGTGTGATAATGTCCCATGTCTTGCAAACTGCTTTGTTCATGTCACGTCTTGAGTCTACCCATCTGGAATACAGTTTCCCTCTTTTCCTACTGCCTTCTATCTTATCAAGTATTATTGTCTTTCCTACTGAGCTATTGTCAGAATCTATATACATGGTTCTGTCATGTTGGTATGATGATGTGATGATATTAGGAGATGAATATATGAGGGCATTGTGATCTGGTGATTTAATGCTTATAGTATGCTGGCTATTGAGAAGGGGATATCAATTAAGTTAAATCCAAGCCTGGGAAACAAATGGGAGAGGCAGATGGCCATGACCCCAATCTTCTTGCCATGGGTCTGAGCTGTAAAACAGGGATGATATTCTTCCTAAAGGGAGATGAAATGATAACACAGGAGGGCAAGGAGGGAAACATGAAGGGCCCTTTGATCTGGATTAAAGAGGGACAATGGGGGGTGGAAAGGGGGGCTGGAGAATGGGAATGTATTTGTGATGGTCCAAGGGGGGACTTTTTCAGTTCTGACACTGAACCCGGGATGGGGAACTTTCTGTCTTGATAGCCAGAATAAATCTCTAATTTCTACTACACTATGATGCTGTCTTGATTATTGAGAATTAGGTCCTCCGATCCTGACAGTCATGCCTTCTCATGATATGTTACAACAATCTTGGTTTAAATCATCTTTGCTTCTAGGGAGAATTTAGGCTTGATTTCCTTTAAGACTCATTTATTTGTCCTTTGGCCAATCCAGAATATCTGCAGAACTCTCCTCCAGCACCACATTTCAGATGAGTT